AAGAGGGCTCAGGTTGCAAATGCGGTTCTTCACGCGAGCAGCTTCCTTCGGCGCCTGTGTCCTGTATCGTTCCAGGGCTTTCTCCAGGTCACTCACGGAGGTTGCATTCATGGCTGCATTAAAGAGTTGCTGGTGCCGCAGACGCCTTCGCATGTGCACGGAGCACATGCCGTGGTGCCACATGGGTATTTCGTTGATTGCGCTTGTCACAGCAGTCCCTAAATCCGAGAGAATCGTATGCTCGCCCTGCAAGTGTGTGTGTGTGTATGTATGTGAGTAAGTGCGTGTGGATGTACGTGTAAGTGTGCATGTGTGCGCACGCGTGTGCATGTGCGTGTGAGTGTGCGTGTGAGAGTGTGAGCGTGAGCGTATGCATGTGCGTGTAAGTGCGTGTGCATGTGCGTGCGTGGAGGCGAATAAACACCGGTCACGTGCACACGCAGCAAGGCAGGCGTTCATACACACGCGCACACGGGCACAAGTGCATGCATACATGGACATGGAGACTCACCCAAAGTGGGGGCATGACCGATAAACAGAGCTGGAACAAGTGTGCGTAAGCGGGCTTGGTTTCCTGCAAGTAAAAGGCATACGTCACATCGATGCAGGTACACGATGAGTTCCAAGGTGGCGCCGCACACACATGCACACATACACACGCACCCACGCACACAGAGACACAAAGATGCAGAGACACACAGACACACAGACACGCACACAGACAAACAGACAAACAGACACACACATGCACACGCATATGTATGCCTGTGCACACACATACACGCACACCATACACACACACACGCATATGTATGCCTGTGCACACACACACGCACCATACACACACACGTGTACACACACACGTGTACACACACACACACACACACAGACACAGACACAGACACATACAGACAGACACATACAGACAGACATACACACATGCACACGCGTGCGCACATGCGTACAGTGTGTTACCTGCTGAGTTATGTTGGCGCCCAGAATGAAGATCTTGTTGTCTGCGTCCAGTTGGCACAAGAGGTGGAGCATCATGTTGTTGTACGACAGATGCGTCGCGTCCGTGAACAGGACCTTTGGAGACTTGGCCGACAAACCATTCAGCTTTAGGCAGAACAGAAGCTCGCTAAATGCACCGTCTTTGGTCATCAGGTGCGCTGCATGATGTCCATTTGCATTGATCCACTCTGCACGACCATCAGCGCAGTGGTATGCATACTTGAGTGTGTTGAAGCAACAACGGCAAAACATACACGTGCATGCATGTAAATACACGCACGCACGCACGCACGCACGCACGCACCCGCGTGTACATACAAACGCGCGCACGTGTACATACACAGACGCAAACACATACATACACGTGTACATACACGTGTACATACACACAGACACACACACATACACACACACACACAGACACAGGCACAGACACACAAGTTCGCAACCAAACTCACGAGCGAACGAGTGCAGTCTGTCAAACTCCTCCTGCCGCTTGACGTGAGTTCTGCCTTGAGCTTGTGCTGCGTACTCTGCCATCTGGGAACCCGACATGGTTAGGCCGTAGCGGGCACTGACTTGTTGTACCTGAGCAGCGGGGTTTCCTGCAAGAAGACATGTCGCGCAGTGTAGAGAGAGGGAGGGGCAACAGTGAGATACCGAGGGCAACTGACGCGAGTTGTCCACATGACAAACGCACACGCATAGGTGATCACTTGGTTGCAGCGAGGAGTACCTATCATGGTTCGATCAAAGCGGGCGAGCGTCTGTGGACGAACACGGCGGCGCCCAAGCTCATGTTCACTGTCCTGTGCGAGCCAGCAAGTGTGGTGCCGTGCCTCGGTAATCTCCCACGCGCCGCTGACGGTTTGTTTGTTGGCGTGAATTGCATAGGCGCAGGTGCTTGGGTGTTTCCTCTGTTGTTGCTGCTTTGTCCAGGCTTTGTTGTCGCATCTCACGCGGTATGTCCTCGAATCCGTTGCCTTCACCTGGACAAGTGGCACGTTAACACATTCCGCGAGACACCACAGGGTGAACAGGACGCTGTTTCTTCGCATGCCCATGCGAAATCAAACGCACGCTCGAGCGTGCCAATCACCACACATGAACCACACAACCGCCACGCCACAAAGCGCCACGCGAAGCACACACAACACACGACAACCCGGCATGAGACACAGCACGCTGCCACAATGCCACGCGAAGCACACACGGCAACACGGCATGAAACACAACACGCTGCAACAACAACAACATAACACTCACTCACAATGTGATTAACGCCGAAGCGAACAGCAATCTCCGAGACAGCCTCCTGCACCTGCTCCTTGGAGATGAAGCGGGTACCCTTGGCAAGCTTGGCGTAAGCAGCCCGCAACGCAGCGTTGTTACTTGCTTCAACAACATCCATGGCTTGCACTGCCACTGTCACTGCCACTGTATGCGATCACACTGTCCTTCTTGCTTGCTTGGTTGTTTGTTTTGCGCCACGATGCGCCATATCCTGTGTGGCAAATTGCAAATTGCACCTGCAATGTGGAAAGCCCTGCAAAGCGGAAAGCGTTTGCCGTGGAACCCACCCAACCCGTTTGCGTGTGCCTCCGAGGCTGCGTGGAGTTGCGTTAGAAGCGCATGGGCACAGCTTAACGCAATCTGAACTCACGCGTGGCGCGAAGTCAAAGCCCTTTTGTCCATGCGGCAGATTCCATTTTCAAAAGTGTACTTTTCGAGCTGTCCCCACACACACACACACACACACACCTATTTTGGCGCCAACGAAAAACAACAACGGTGATGGACTTCCTTTCTGCGCCGTGGATTGTGCGCACATATGAAGAGGCGGAGGAGGAAGTGATCGCTGGCACGGGCGCCAGACGCGTGCAGCTGGTCTTTGCTGCAACGCAGGTGTGTTAGCGTGTTAGCGCCCTTGGCTCGTGCCAGCGGTGTTTGCTCGAGGTTGGGCTTGTTGAAGGGGAGATCAAGTCTTGCGCAGCACACTCAACACACTCAACACGCTGAACACACTGACAACACTGAACACACACCGAGAACACTGAACACACTGAACACACTGAACTCTGGCAATGGTGCCTCAACGCACGCGCGTGCGCACTTGTGTCGCATCCAGGCGTCCAGGCTGCCTGGATCAGATCAAAGGGTCGTGTGCGGTTGTATCAGTGACCAGCACGTCATCGTACCCGCCGTATTCTCCGAGGAAGCACTTGAACAGCTGCAGGTGCGCATTGAATGCACCTGTGCATGTCCGTACGGGTGGTGGCATCGGCACCTGCGCTGTGTCTGTTGTGTTTGCTGTGTTTGCTGTGTTTGCTGTGTTTGCTGTGTTTGCTGTGTTTGCTGTTGCATGCCCTTGACGCAGTTGCTGCACCGCCTTCGCGTCTGCAGGCAGACTCGCAGATGGATGTGGAGCTCGAAGGAGCGCGTGGCTGGCTGCTCCTCTTGAAGAAGTATGTCAAGTACATGTGCGCGCATGTGTCTGTGTGTGCCTTCATGTGTACGCCTTCATGTGTACGCCCCTGTGTACGCCTCCCGTGTACGTCGATGTGTACGCCTCTGTCTACGCCCCTGTGTACGTCGATGTGTACGCCTCTGTCTACGCCCCTGTGTACGTCGATGTGTACGTTCGGGAGTCGTCATGGCAACCCCCCTCCCCCTCCCCTCCAAGCCGTGTCACATGACGACGTCGCAGTGCAGCCTCACAAAGCTTACTTGGGCGGATTCTCCACCATGCACCAGATACTGGCTGCGTCCAACCCTGGGCTACGACAACGTGTGCTGCGTGATTGACCTGTTTGAGGTCTGCAGCAGCGACGACCACCTCCTGATTGGATCCCCAACACATTCGCGCAACCACAAGGCGCTCCTGCAAGCCCTGCAGCGCAAGGCGACGGCGCAACCGGAGAGCATTGCCGACGCCGCCGCCAATGTGCAGGAGTCACAGGCGCCGGACGAGCCCACCTCCCTCGTCGGCCTACTCCAGTCCCTCTTTGACTTTGAGGAAGCGGCATCGCAGAGCCAGCACTGGCCAATTGACACGCCGCACAGCCAGCACTGGCTCAGTGGCAGTCGCCGCGGCGATAATGACGGTGGAGACGCTGCCCAACAGGCGGAGCACCACAAGCGTCTTGATGATGACAGCGACCACAGCGGTTCAGGGCGTGCAACTGGCCACGGCCAAGCTCATCATGCCACAACTGCGTCCACCAACGATGACAGCAATGTCACGGCCAACAACCCCAACAACAGCAGCAAGAGGAAAGAGGGCAGCGAGAGCGCGACAAGGTCGCCTGCGCACCAACAGGGCAATGGGATGTCCGCGTCGCTGGCGGCTTGCGATGTCACGCCATGTAGTCAACAATCACAAGACATAACGGTCAGCTCCCAGGCCTTTGACTTTGCAACGGCCGCCGCCAACTCGCAGCGAAGCCTGTTTGGGGACGTCACGGGGTCCACCTTTACATCACCCAGCACGTGTTCACTCTGCAGCAAGCGCGCACACATGACCACAAGTGCGCACATGGAGAGCGATGGCGGCACTGGCGATGGTGACGGCAGCCACATGCCGAGCAGTGAAAGCAGCCACACCAAGCCAGCAGCAACAGCAACAACAGCAGCAACAGCAGCAGCAGCAGCAACAACAACAACAACAGCAACAGCAACAGCAACAGCAACAACAAGAGCTGCTGGCGAGCGGCAGGGCATAAGAAGAGCGGTGAAGAGGAAGCGAACCCGAAGAAAGAGGCGCGCAGCACCGCTTGCACTCGATCTCAGCATCGACGATGAAACACAGGAGCCAGTGGAAGATGATGCGGGAGGACGCACCATGCCTCCAACCAACTACAAAACACCTGCAGTCACAGCCACAGCGACTGTATCCGCAACAAATGGTGCGCGCGTTGTTGTTGACTTTGACACGAGCAGTGGAGATTCGCAGGACTTGCTCGCATCTGGACCGTTGTGGTCACAGT